GACTACAAACATCTCAGCGGATATCAAGATCAACAGCATGACCTACAACGTCGAGAGCATCGGAGAAGCGGAGCCGTCAGCCAAGCAACAGACGACTACAGCAGGAATATAGACTAGCGAATGGCGGGGGCCGATCATGCGACTGCAGCAACTACATCGCGAAATACACCTTATTGGGACCCAAGAAGGACGGACCGAGCGACGAGAAGCTACCAGCAACGGGTTCCACATGATCAGCAGCCCCCACCACAACTACAACTGCGGATGCGAACTGTGGGCCAATCTTATGCTACCATACGCTACAACACCGACAGGGCCATTATTCTTTCAACCATAGGATTTCCACGTCATCTCAGCCAGGCCACGACTACGCATTGTGCGGATCCAAACGAAGGCCTTCGAACGCATCACATGTGTTGCGCATGCCCCGCATAAGAAAAATAATGCCAAATCACGAAACAAGTTCTGGGAATACTTAACCAAGCAAGTATCAAAGTACAGCCCATCTACAATATCTATTGGTGCGAACGGGCGAGTGGGTTCTACGACATCGCAACGGGTTGGGTCCGCAGGACTTCAACAACAACAAGACGAAAACAGACTACGGCTACACGAACTGGCAGCGTCTGCACACATGTCTATTGTCAATGCACACAGGTCGGGTGGTAAAGATCACCATACATGGATGGATGGCCACGGACATGGACATCGCACCGACTACATCATGTTAAACGAACAACTACATCAAGCAGTGACAACATGTAAGACGCTATCAGACCTGGAGACGAAAAAAACCACCAAAGCGGACCAACCACGAGAAGATCACCCGCAAGTCCTTGCGCAAGTGGCTTGCCAACGTCTACCAGGGCAAACGGGAAGCTGTTCCCTAAGATCGACAAAACAAAGCTGACGGATGAAAAGGCGATCAACTAATTCAAGCAGATGCTCGACGCGACGGTGATCCCCGACTGGTATGCAAGCCTTGACAAGCACGCCTACTTCTACGCGTTCAGTATCATGGAGGCAGCCACCGCAGCATTCCCCAATAGCCAGCACAAGAAGATGCAGGAGTACATTTCCGAACAGACATTCGATTTCATAATCGACCGAAGACGACTTGCTAAGCTACTACGGAAGATAGCGCAAAATGGACGAACGCACTACCTGGCCACGAGGAGAATCACCAAAGAAATAGCTTGCACAATCGAACGCCCGACAAGAAGCTTACCAACAAAGTATCTCGACCAGCACTGCAATGGACTAATGCGACTTGCTATCGAAGCACAGCGTGCCAACACCAGCAACGACTACCATGGACTCTTCACCGCTGCTCGAGATTGGCGAGATGATACGCGGAAAACATCGTCACGAATGGCCAACGACGATTACGACGAGTTCCTCAATCAACAACTTACACTCGCAGCAGGAGCGAGGTGCAATAACGAGCCATGCAACGAATGGAAAGGAGCACGGAAGCATTTAATATTTGGCGGGCGTAAGCGACGCAAGACTTGGACATGCCCTGCGATGTCGGATAGCAACGGCGAGGTGATTGCAGACGCGGCGGCTAAGCACAACGAGGCCGCCCACCACTCCGGCGACATAGAAGCTTCAACACTCATGACAAGGACCGAAATATCAGAGCAATGCAGAAACACGGACGATATCTGTGGCAACAATACGATCAGAAGCGTCGACAACTTCGCCAACATCTATGAGCTTGCAGAACAACTGGCTCGGAGCAAACTCGGACGCGCTGCAGGGCCTGGGGAAGTTGCGGACGACCTTGCCCACGCAGCACCACGAGAGATGGCACGGCACATGCACCCGCTAATTTCGAAGACTGTATTGTTTATTCGAGAAGCAGCGACGCACAAAGGATCGCGAATGACACGCTTCTGGAAAGGAAAAGGGACCGAAGAGACGCTACAAAACCACCGTTCGATATCGCTTGCCAACACCATCATCAAGCACCACGACAGGTATGTACGCCAGTGAATGAAGGACCTGATACCTGGGTTATTCTTCAGCACACAGATGGGAGGGCGAAGTCACTACAGCACGGGCTACAACCACATCATAATGCGATTGGCGTTCAACCTGGCAGCCGCGGAAGGAACCAACCTCATCATGATCATGATTGATGTGAAGTCCGCATTTCGCAAGGTAGCTACGAATTTGGTATAAGATATGCAGATGAGCTCATACGACACCGACAACATGATTGAACACATGGACATACCTAAATGCATGCAACCAGTTATCCAAACCCTCATGCACAACAAGGACATCGGCAGCACCCACATAGCATGTACTATCGACGTTGACCGAAGCCCACCGCAGCACATGGTTCTTTACATACGCAGCACCAAGGCTAGGAACACGACCAGGAGTACCTATCGCCGACCTCACATTCAACGCGCTGACGTCTGCAGTTACGATAGACTATCACGAAGAAGCCATCAGAGCGAAAGCCGCAGTCAGGGTACCAGACAGCCCACCAGTATTCTGTACGAGTACTGAAGAGCAGCATATGACGACAACATATTTCGTCGATGATGTGAAATCGATGACAACGGTCACCGACGGCAACGTAACGAGGCAACAATCAAAACCATGTTGGGGAGACTGCTACGAACTACATTAACGCGTGGGTTACACATCAGCATTACCAAGTCCAACTCCCTCATCTTCGCCAGCAACAAGGAGGGAACCATAACAGCAAGACAAATGCAGATCGAGCAGAAGAAGTACACGGACATGGGGATGACAGTAACTATCACGCGAACGCTTAAAGTGCTGGGCGCTATGGTGAACGATCGGAACGACTTTACCCAGGAAGCTGCAGCACGTGTAATTGCTCTAAAAGGGACTAACACACCACTTCGAAAGACGGTGTTCAAGCGCGACAAGATCACCAATACTGCCAAGATACACTACCTCAATGTCCATTCGCGACTACTATACAATGCAAGAAACTAGATACCTGCAAAAAGACGGACACGGACAATATCGCCACAGCGTACACAGCAGCAGCAAGGATGGCAATGGGCAGTGACCATCGGACAACACAGCGGGAGAAGATTACCGACATCCAGATCATCAACTGGGCGGGCATAGCGACACCCCCACAAAGACTACGGCAAGCAAGGCTGAGAGAGATCATACGGCTAACTACGGCATGCCCGACCGAACTGAGAGCCCTACTCGATTACGACATCGAGAACAACGGCAGATGGTCTACTACGATTGCTGACGAACCCACCACATCAAAGCGTACACCAGCAAACAACACAACACGCCTGACCACGACGACATACGCAAATGGATACGCATTGCAAAAGAAGAACCATCCAAACTCAAACGTGTAATCACACACGCCTACAAGACAGCCATCGAGCACAACAAAGAACACGCTGCCACATATGCATGGAGGAGGCGCATCAATTACATTTGCGACGGCACCACCATTCCGACGCTTGACAACGAAGATCCTCAACATGATCGCAGGTACCTATGCTACAAATGCGGGCAAATCCTGGGCGGCAAGTCAGCGTACCAAAAGCACATGAGTGCGACGCACAAACAGGACGACCATATAATCAAGTACATCCACGGGACTACATGCCAAGTCTGTGTGCAGGAGTACTGGACGGTGAATAGATTGTGGCGCCAGCAGACACTGTGCATCACTAGCCACGAAGCTCAGCAAGAGACTTGACGACGACGAAGCAAGCGAAATATCCGAGGAACTAAGACACACACGACGGACCAATAAAAACAAAGGACTACCCGAAGATTACGCTGAACGCCCATGCGTACAACCCCGCGGACCATCACTCGCACTACGCACAGACGCTAAGCACGAACACACCTCAACGATTCCAACAACAGTCCCTCTGCTACCGCTACAAGATGAAGGGCGAGAAGGGCGGCGAAGACAGAGGGAAGACGATCTTCGAGGCGATCGACCCCAACGACAGACGCGAGCTGATACAGGCGACCGAAATACAGCAGAGCCAAGCACCGACGGGATAGACCAGACTACGACCCTGACCGTCACCGACCAGAATGCCAACAGCGACGACACTATGCGCATCGTCAACGGCATCGAGCATCAAGCAGAAATACAACATCGACGAGTACGTATACTCACCGTGGCCAACCACACGAGCCAGAAGCACAACGAGAGAAAGGTTGACTACATCAAAAACGCTATCTACGAGTCCATTCCGAGCATAGGCAACAGCAACCAATTACGTGACGAACGACACCCGTGGGGCAGAAAAGACGCCAACAAACACGACCACACGACAACTATGGAAGATAACGCTAAAGTACGAGACGCCATCTCCCTCATGTACACGTGCATAGCCAATGACACGGCCTGCATGACAAACATCGGGCCTATGACGACAACTGCCCCACACGAACTACAACACCTGGCGAGAAACAACCTCGTCACCATGACTGGCCGATCCATCACTAGCAAGCACTTCCACAACACCACCGACTACGACGACGACACAATACGCATCCTGGCGGCAGCATGTGGAAAGAGCCACACAGACAGAAAGGATATTGGCGACCTCAGCAATTACATTACACAGTACGACCGCTACCTCGCGGCGAACAAGCTGGCGTACCGTCGATCGGACCCCACAGCGCACAGCGCCGAAGGGTGAGGGACGACGTGATTGGAACACAAGACCCAGCAGCAGGCACGCAGACAGTCGTTTCCTGGGGCGCCCTCTGGCACACATCTCGAAGCCTGCATTCCTTCGGAGGATAGTCAGGTGACGAGAGTGTGCCATGGCGTCCTGGGAAGTCGTGGCTCTCCCCTCGGAGCCAGCATCCCCTTCGGAGGGCTGCTTGGGGCCTAGGTCGAGGGCCATGGCTCCACAGTGCGAACAAGGGCTGCGTGCTGAATGCTGGGCACACGTTGCCACGTTTTGCTGCCCGAACATGGGCACAAGACCACCGAGCGAGGCGACCTCTCCTCACGGCTCGGCGGCACCTCGCACGCAGAGCACCGCACCATCCAGAAGGTCCCCCTCGGCGGCGAGCGTGCCTACCCCTCGGCAAAAGGGCTGAGGGGTGACGGCGGCCGCCCTGGGGGGAAGAGGAGACGGGCTCCCTCTGACAAGGGAGCCCGCCGGGCGAGCCCGAGGCCATCGGAGGCCTTCGTCTCCCTCCTCTCCTCCATCGCCCTCAAGGCTTCCTCCCCTCTCCCCCTGGCCTGGCCTCGGCGCTTCGTTTTCGTCTTCGTTGGCCTCGCCCTCTCCCTTTCCTTTTTGGGCCCTGGAGGCGTCCTCCCTCCCCCCCTCTGGCCTGGGCGGGGTCCGTGCGCGCGTGCTGCCTGCGTGTTCGGCCTCGCTTTCGCCTTGCGCATTCGGCTCGCTCGGCGTCGGCGCGTTCGTTGCGTGCTCGGCACACGTCCGTGCGCGCTTGCGCGGTGCCCGCGCGCGGGCGCGCGCTCGGGCGCCGCGGGGCTACGCGGAGACCCGCGAGCGGCCCGCAAGGCAGGAAGAGGAGCAGGAGGAGGAGGAGGAGGAGGAGGAGGAGGAGGAAGAGGAGGACCCCCTCCCCCTCCAACTGATGGTGGTGGTGGTGGAAGACAGGCCCATCAGTTTGTTCCTCGAAGGCCCGCGCCCGCTGGGCGCTCGGCAGGCCGCGGGGCGCGGCGCGCCGGGCCGTCGGCCACCGCCTCGAGGCGCGCGAGGCGCCGCTCCCGCTCGGCGCAGCAGCCCGCGGCGGCCTCCTCGGCGCAGCAGCCCGCGGCGGCCGCGGGCTCCTCGGCTGCGTGCAAGGCCGGCCCTGGGCCGAGCGTGGCCTCTGGTGCGCCGCCCACTGACCGCTGCATGCAGTGCGGACGGTGTCGGCCTGCGTGCGTGCACACGCCCACCGCCGCTGGCCAGAGGCCCCTCCTGGGCCCGGGGGGGAGGGGTCGGTGCCTCCCTGGGCCAAGGCAGGGAGCGTCGTACACGCCACTCCCGCGCCCAGGATGGGCCTGGCCGCGCCCCGCAAGCGCCACCCACCAAAGGTCACTCTGGCGAGAGGGCCACTCTCACTAACACAAGCGCCTTCCACTACTCGAGGATGGCCTGGATCCGCCGCGGGGGATGCACGATCCATCACATCGGGGCGAACATGCGCTTTTCGTGCGTTTGCGAGTAGTGGAGCGCGCTCGGCGACTTGCGTGCAGCCGACTCCTCGGCGGTGCCGCCGGGCCCCCAGGGGAGCGCGGCCGCGGCGCCGCCGGCGCGGCCGCAGGGCGGGGAGAGGGAGCGGGTGCAGAGGAACAAAACATGGCATAGAACGTGAACTTTCGGAGCTCCGCGCGAAGTTCTCCGATCGGCGTCGCGGGCCACCGTCCCCGGCGCGCAGAGCGCGCCAAGGGGGCGGCGCCAGACGCGCTGATCAGAGGAGCCCTTAGCGGGCGACGAGCAGTATGACATAAACTTTTCCGCTGGTGGGGACGCCTGTCCGAGGGCGGCTGGACAGCTTCTTCACACACCCCACCTGCCACCGTTGGGGTGCGGACTTCCCCGCCGCCCTGGGACGGGCGGCCCCGGCGGCGGAAAGCCTTGTCCTGCGCCACTCGTCGCCCCCGAAAATCCGCGCGGAGCTCCGACGGTTCCTGTTTCTGCCACTGTTCGTTCCCCGAGGTCGGAAGCCCGCGCGGGCCCACGGAGGGCGTGCCCCGCGTCGCGCGCGGCGCGGGGCAGCCGCTCGGCGCGGTCAGCGCCCCCGAGGTGGTCCATGGCGTGCTCCGCGCCGCGCAGGGCGCCCTGCACGAGGTGCTGCCGCAGCGCGTGCCGGTCCTGTGGACGCCCGAAGCGGGTACCGAAAGAGCGGGCTCGATGCCCAGCAGAACATGTCGTCCAAAACGGGCAGCGGCCGCTGCTTGGCGGGCGGCCTCCCGTCTCAAGTGCACAGCGAAACGTCCGTAGCGGCACCGGCAGCGAGTCCGGGTCAGGACGATCAGGAAGTGCTGTCCGTTTTCGTACCCATCTCTTTCCCGCACACGTTTCGATCGCACCGAGGTCCGCGGGGTCGCCACCGCTGCAGCGGCGCGGGGCTGGCCAGAGCGCGGCGCGGACGAGCCGCTGGAACAGGGCGTTCTGGCCCACGGGCCCACCCTCGCCGCCTCGGAGCCCAGCGCCCAGGCCCAGGCCCGCTTCCTCCTCCGCCTCCTCCTCGCCATGCGGCTCCGCCGTGGCCTGCGCGACGCCACGCCAAGAGCGTCCGGCGCCGTAGTTTTGTGTGCACGGCGGACACGGCCGCAAGAAATCCCTCGCAAGAAACCCGGCCCCGAAAACCCGCAATGATGGGCTCTTTTCCCACCGCAGCCACCTCCATAAGTTGGAGGGGGGAAGGAGGAGGACGAGGAGGAGGACGATGAGGAGGAGGAGGAGGGGGAGGAAGAGGAGGAGGAGGAAGAGGAGGACCCCCTCCCCTCCAACTTAAGATGGTGGTGGTGGTGGTGGTGCAAAACAAGCCCATCACGCAAGCGAGAGATGCAAGCGGCGGAGAGCCCAAAGCACATGGAACGCAACACCTCCTTCAACGGTCGCGGAAAGTCACCGCGCAGCACGCGGAGCGAAGAAACCCAGGGTCCAGGGGCAACGATAGGGGGGGACTGACATAGGGGGAATGCGTCGATCTGGAATCGGCGATTCATCGTCGATAGATCGGCGACGCGCCCCCGATAGTGAATCCGCACCTTCCTGGGCAGGCTGGGGCTATCGAGCCCCTGTCGGCGATCAACGGGCGATTGGGGGTCGGTGCGTCCCCGCCGATGCCCATCCCTCCCCATCGTTGCACCTGAACCCAGGGCACCCCGAGGAAAGCACCCGGCTTCTTGATGCGCGCCCCATTGCGTGCAGCACGGGGTCTCCCCCTGGCCATCTCTCGGACGTCCATTCCCCTGTGTTTTTTTCAGTTTCGTGCATGTTTTTTTTGTTCGCCAAAGGATCAAGGATGCTCCTCGATGGTCCTCGCCGAAGGAAACAATGCACACGTCCGAGCGATGCCAGGCCCCAGGGCCTGGTCGCCGTGGGCCAGCGGCTTGCCTGCGGACGAGAGGCCCCTCTCGGAGGCCCGGGCGCTGCACCTGTTCTCCACACGGGGGCGCACGTCCCCTGCTGCCTGGCCCCGCGGGGCCATCACGGCTCGATCCGGCTCGACAGCTGCAGCAAGGTTGGGTTGAGGGCTCTGGCCGCGATGGTTGGCGATGTCGCACGTCTTCGTGAACTCGGATCTCACGGTTGTACACCACCCCAAGAATCGGCGGCGAGCGAGGGGGGGGGGAATGAGAAAGGGCGGGCCTTCTCGGAAGCCTCGGAAGTCCCCCAGCCTTTTGAGAAGTGCTCTGGGCCTTCCACGAAGACACAGAAACCACTCTGAGGGCTGGAGGGCTTCTGAGAAGTCCGCCGCACTCTGAGAAGGCCTTCTCCTCCTCACTTCCCCCCTCGCTCGCCGCCGAAAGAAGCAAGCTGCTCAGGCACGGGGTGCGCGTTCGGCGCGGTGGCCATGGTCTCTGCCGCCCCGGATCTCTTTTTGACAGTCCAGGGGCCCGGCGAGGGCCCCCAGACGTCCACAAAACGAGGCAACACCCCCGTCTTGGAGCCAATGCTTCGCGCTTCGCGATCACGCCCGAGCCTGGCCCCACTCCTCCGCCCCTCCCCCCCTGTCATGTCGCGATTCGCGCGGGCGCGAATCGTGACGTGACCGGCCTCCTCCCCTCCCCTCTCCCACGCCCCCTGGTCACACCCGCCAGGAGTGAAAGCAAACAGTCTCTTGATTCGTTCGGTACGTTGCAGGCCCGGGTTGTCTGGAACGTCCGCTGGCCTCCAGGCTCTCGGCTTCCGCGGGGGCCGACCGGTCCTCCTCCGATGCCGCTGCGGCCGCCCGATCAGCTGGCGCCTCCCGGCCCTTGGCCAGCTCCTCCCAGGGGCAACGACAGAGGCGGGCCAGCTCAGGGGGGAACATCGACCTGGAATCGGCGATGCGTCGCCGACAGATCGGCGATAGGCCCCCGATAGCGAATCCGGACGATCCTGAGCGGAATGGGGCTATCAGGCCCATATCGGCGATCAAGCGGCGATGGGGGGCCGATGCATCCCCCCCTGAGCCTACCCTCCCCTGTCGCTGCCCCGAATCCTTCTCCCCTGCCGCGGTCGGGCAGCCGGCCAGCGCTTCCGCATCCGTGGCCTTGGCGGGAAGGGGAGGGAGCGAGGAGCGGGGAGGGACCGAAACCTCTCCAAATCTCCCAGGATCTCATCTGCTCAGACTGGGCGTTGTTCCTCCACTTCGGCCTCGGGGGGCACTCCCTCGTCGGGCCTCATGACTATCAAAAAACGGATCCGGGGCGAAAAGCTGCCCAGGGTGAAGGCGTCGGGATCTCTGAATCACGACGGGAATCTCTTGGCCACGTTCGGCCTCCGAGGAGCCCTCACCGGGCCCCTGGGGCCGTCAGAAAACGACTCGGGGTGGGGAGTCGGTCTGAAAGGAGGGGTCCAGACCTCGTTGGGGTCCACGCTGTGAAAAATCGCGGCGTGTCCGAGGTCTTGGGACGAGGGTGTTGTTCCCGAGCGTCTCGTCCTAGGTATGCGGCGGGAGGTGGCTATCGAACGAGGACTAGCTCTAGTTACGCTTGAGGGAAATAGGAAACAACCAAACAACAGACACAGCTGGACTCATGGCTCCTGCCAAGCCAGCGACAGATGCGTAGGGCGGGAAGGCGGGGGAAAAGCGGATGGGAGGGAAGAAAGCTTGCGGCGCTGTGGCGAAACCACAGGCCAGTCGCGCACAGCCTCAACACCAGGTGCCTCGGCTGCGCCCTCTCTGCCACCGATCCTGCCAAGCCCGACCAGTGTGGAACACGCTAGGGGAGAGGTTCTGCCAGCTCCACCCCGCGGTGCTGAGCTCATGCGCCGTGAAGCCAGCAATCCTGAGGCCGACCCCGTCCAACTGCACCCCGCGGCCACGAGCAACGCCAACCAACCTGAGGCCTGGTACGCTGCAGGACACTGGCGGCGCCGACCCCCTGCGTGAAGCCGACATGCACACATATATATTCTCCCGCTCGCGCGCTAGCGAGCTGTCTCCGTGCGCGGCCGCGGCGTGCGCGCGCGGGGCGGCCCAAAATGGGCAGGCCCGTCCCGCGCGCTCAAGCCGGGGCGCCGCGCGTCAGACGGTGGAGTCCGTCTGGTCGCCGATGTCGGCGAGGCAGCGCCCGTCAGCCTTAGAATGGGAGAGGAGGGAGGGGGGCAGAGAAGCTGCGGAGACAGCAGGAGCTTGCTCACAGAGAATAGAAGAAGCATTCTCCCGCTCGCGCGCTAGCGAGCTGTCTCCGTGCGCGGCCGCGGCGTGCGCGCGCGGGGCGGCCCAAAATGGGCAGGCCCGTCCCGCGCGCTCAAGCCGGGGCGCCGCGCGTCAGACGGTGGAGTCCGTCTGGTCGCCGATGTCGGCGAGGCAGCCATACCCGTGCTCAAGGACCTTGCGAAGTGACAAGGTTTTGGCGGGCGGCCGCAAGCAGGGCAGGCCAAGCGGCGGGGCCGACTTGGAGGAAAGAAGCGACGAGGCGGTCGCTGGCGGTGGCGAAGAACAAGATACGAGCCCGCGCGTGCTCGGGCAGCGCAGCAAGAACTGTCGAGGCGGCGGCGGCTTGCAGGTAGCGCTCGGCACTGGAAGCCTGACGCCAACGCCCACGCCAGAAGACGCGAGGGACGTCTTCCGTAGCGATATAGAAGTCTGTTGCGCCAGAGCCCCGCAGACAAGCGGGCGTCAGGTTGAGCCCCTGACCTGCTTTGGCAAGAGGGACGCCCAGAGCCAAAAGCAGATGATTCCACCGAGTACGGAAGCCGCTCGCACCGAAGGGGGCGAGAGGATCGGTGGAAGCCAACCTTCCAAACACTTGACTCAAAATCTTCACCGTGCCCCGATCGGAGCAGCGAGCATGTTGCGTCGGGTACGTTCTTCTGGTCTTTGGAACAAGAATTGAAAGAAAAGCATCCCCGTCGACTTCGAGACGGTCGCATGGAAGCGACAGGTCACAGCGGCGTGACGCCAGCAGTTCGCCAGGCCTGAGGAACATCGTGAAGCCCATGAGCAGCAGCGCCGCCATCACAGGCCAGTCCCAGGCGAGACAGAGCCCGACCATGGCGCGCAGCAGCGCGCGTGGCAAGGGGGGACGGAGCTTTGGCGGCTCCGCAAGCTTCCATTGTTTCGCTACGTCCCAAGCTTCTGTCAGAAAGGCCTTCCAATGCGGATGGGCGCTTTGGATTCCCAAGATGGCATGGACCAAAATATAATGAGGGAAACCTGCATCATGAAGCCACACGCCGAAGGTCGCGAGGAAACGAGCGAGAAGTATCCCGCTTCGGTAAAGTGTGGCGGGTGGCACGCCAGTGTGTTCTGCTAACCACAGCTCGAAGGCATCAATCGATCTCGAGCGACGGTCGAGATACGCGGAGGTGAGGTGAGAATCGCGCACAAAGGGAGTGCGCGGAGGGCGAGCGGGCGCGGACGGCGCAGCCCGACTAAGCCCTTGGCCTGCGGTCGGCGCCGCGGCTCCCAGAGAGATGCAGAGGCCGCAGACGCACCACAGGATGAGCGCAGGGCGGCCAGGGCTTGGAGAGCTGATCACCGTGGCGGCCCTCCTGCGCCTGGACGCGTAGAAGGGCGGAACGAGGGCGTCCCGCCCGTCGGTCTCGAACCCCGACGCCTCCGCCAGCATCGCCCGCGCCGAGCTGAAGGACCCGCCCATGTTACGGTAGGCACGGCGAGCCCCTGCTTCGATCTCGGCTGGCAGAGCGTCCCCTCTCTCGAGGGTCGGCCAGTCAAAAGGCGGGCGCGGCTCGGCACGCGCAGCTGCGGCTGCTTCGGCAAGCTCGGAACGAGCTGCCGAGGACGTGAGGCCCGAATGATGTGGCACGGGCACCACCTCCGCGAAGGCGTCGAGGATCTCGGACGGAGGGGAATGGGATCCCCACAGCGCTGCTGGGATGGCGCCGTGACTGTCCTGCACGTGGTACAGAAGGTCGAAAAGGCAGGCCAGTTTGCCCGCGCGCCGCCGCTGCTCGATCTTTGAGCCGAGCCCGATGCCACGGATGGCGCCCGCCCCCATGGCCTGGAGGTCAGCATCCGCGGGGATCGCCTCGGGCTCGACGATGGCCACGTAAGGATGCAGCCACGAGGCCTCGTCAAGCGGCTCGGCGCCGCCTGTCTGAAACAGGCGCTTGTAGGCGTGCAAGGCCCGCAGGAGGCAGTGCAGGTCATCCTTGCCCTCAGGCTCGGCGGCCCCTGCGGGTGCAAAAGTCCTCAGCCACGACGCCGCGCTCTGGAAAGCACCTTGCCAGGCGGGTCCCCACCTCACCACTGTGATCTTCTCACCGCCTAGGTTGAGGCGCCACGCTAGGGCGCTGGCGGCCCCTGGAGGCAAGGGCTGCTCAGCGGCCGCCGAGGCCGTGCGCCGCGCTGCGAAGGCTGCAGCCGCGGCGCTTCCAGCGTCACCACTGTGAGAGCCGCTGAGAGGCAGCTCGGGCTCAGAAGCTCGACCAAGCGCGAAGCCGCTCGAAGACCCCCCTTTCTCGGCGGCACGCCCTCCTCCCTGCGGGGCCGCAACAGCATCGCTGGAAGAGCGCATGCCTACCGAAGTCGGAGGGGCCTGAGCAGCGGAGTCCGCGCGGGAGCTGGCTGGCCGCTGCGAAGTGGCGGGGCTCGGGCGACGCTTCGGAGCGACTCGAGGGGAGCGCACCACGCGACGCCCAGGCGACGCACGGGAACGCGACGCCGCACGCCCACCAGAGTGGTGACGGGGTGGCGATGGCGGCGGGGGGACGGGCCGCGGCGTCTCGGAGCCAGCACGCGTGCCGCGGCCCCGAGAGCGGCTGCGAGCCGCAGCGTGAGCGGCGGGCGGGGAGGCCTCCGCGCGGCGAGGGAAGGCCGCCTGCAAGCGGCGGAGGGCCTCAGGGTTAAGGCCCGCCACGACGCGCTCGAGGTCCACCGAGGAGTCAGTGAGGGCACTCAAAACGACGTCCTCGAGCTCCGTCGGTGAGTCCTCCTCGCACGCGGGCTCCGCTCTCGAGCGGCTGCGGGCGCTCGCTGGAGGAGACCCCTCAGGAGTGTGCGGGCCTTCCGATGCCTCCCCCGCCGGTGGCCCCGACGGCTCCTCAGGCGCGCTCGAGACGTCGATGGGAGGCGAGGAGCAGCCTCCCGAGGGGGAAGTGTAATCAGTCCCGTACGGGTTCGGAGACCGCGTACGGCTGCGGGCAGGGCTGCGGCTCCGCGGTGGAGGGCCCACTCCCGCGGCGGAGCTGGGGCGTGCCGCGCCTGCCCAGCGACGCGCATTAGCAGTGCGACGCGCCCTGCGGCCCGGCGTCGTGGCGGCTCCCTCTTCAGGGGCGGGTAGCGCCGCCGTCGAAGCTCGCCGCTGCTTCTTGGCGCGCTTGTTGCGCGCGGCGCCCGTGCGCGAGGCGGAGTGTGGCGCGTGATCACCGCGATTGGGCTGGTCCTCGACAGCCTCGTCCCGCGGGCCCAGGCGGGCGCGGACCGCGCGCCCCTCGCGACGGCTGAAGCTGGACGCTGGGTCGTCGGCAGGCCTCGCCAAGGTGCGCGGGTCCTCAGCTTCCACCTCGGCCAGAGAGCGCCCAGTAGACGACGCGGGGGCGTCCCCAGCACGAGCGGCGCGATCCGCGTTGGCGAGGCCCGTCGAGACCTCAGCGTTGTGCAGGACGGCGCGCAGAGTTTTGCGCCAATCCCGACCCAGCTGGACGGGAGCCGTACGCGGCAAGCCCGCGGCCTCACGACTGGCGGCCTCGCGCAAGCGACGGAAGTAGGCGCGGTCGGCCATCCCTTCCGCGAGCTCAGCACGAGCGACGGCACGCTCGCCTTCGCCGCGTGCTGGAGCCTGCACCGTGCGCCTGGTGGCGTCGGCACGCGCGGTGCGGAGTGCGTCGAGCTCCACGCGGCCGCGCGACACGGCGGAGGCGAGGATGGCATCAGACTCAGCCGCCCGCGTCGCGAGGGCAGACGAAACCCTGCTTGGGAGAGGCGCACCCGAGGCGGGGAGGGCAGCCCGAGGGGCCAGCTCGGCACTCGCCAGGGCGACCCGCGAAGAGACCGCTTCCTCGAGCGCCTGAAGGGCCATGGCCGACCCAGGAGCCAGCTTGCCCTTGCGGGCGCCCTTCCCTGCCGCTTTTGCCTGGGCG